CAGGCTCCAGCTATGAACTCTCTTAGCCACTCGATCACTTCTAATCCTTCCAGCAGTATTGTACCCTTTTTCGCTTCCCTTACCTTCAGGCTTACCTTCCCCTTAATTCTCATCTCTTCAAACAGGAGTTTTTTTGCTTCTATCTTCAAGGATCTCCTCCACTGACCTGCCTGCACGAACTCCATCCCCTCCATTTTCCCTCCCATCTTACTCTTATTGCAGATGTTCTTAGACAATTGATTACTAGGGCTGATGGATTAAGCTTGATTAGGGTGTGGGGAATTGGTAGAGATGGTTTGTTGTCATTCACAATTTGCAGGTAACATAGGTTATGGGGGCTGAAGAAATGGGGAATTTACAGCTTCTTTTTAGTGCCATAGCCAATATTCCAATGCCCTTTTAGGTCTGCCCCGATCTCTTGTAGCCTCTTCAATTTGTAATAGATCACTGCTTCTTATGGGTGCTGTAGTTGAGACAACGCTTAGATGATAATAATGATGATCACTTCTTACACTGTATATCATTTTCTCTGCACATGATCAAATCACCTTAGTGTACTTTCTCTCATTTTATCACCTATTGGAGCTACTAGGTTCCTTTGAATACATCATTTCTCACACTGGCCTTTCTAGTTTTTCCACTCATCAATCTCAACCTTTGCATTTCTGGCACACTCATTGTTTGGACATGTTAGTATTAACATTTTTTGATTGATATGTTGCTGTTATTGACAAGTTCCCTAAGAAACTTGAGTCTTGGAAGAAAAATTGCATTTCTCTAAGGAGTAGGATCATACAACTATACTTTCGCCAATCTTCTTGTTTACTACTTGTTGGTCTTTTTTATTTTTTTTTTGGGGATCTAAACTGTAAGATTCAAAGAAATCTTCATGGAAGGCTATAAACTTTATGGACTCTACTTATAAATAATATAAAATTTGGGATGTTAATTGAATTTCTCTTTGTTCCATATTTCTCCTGTAATTATATTTTTATTGCATGACTTGCAATTGGTTCTCACTGGAAATTTTAACAGTTATTATTGCTCCTCATGGAATGAGAGGTAAGCTTACAGGATGCTGTCCAAGTGATCTTGTGAAGCAAGTTTATTTTAGGTAATATTTTTTTTGGGTGTGCTCCATATTTTTGTATTTTTCAAATAGAAGATATCACAATCAAGGTAAGCCTGAGAATATTTCTTTTTTCCTTTATTTATTTCTTATGACATGTTCAAACAATTCCAGCAAAGCTAGGACTTCGAATGGGTTTACTGTTCTTGGTTTGCCTTCCCAAGCTGTTCAAGCTTCTAGTTGCCAGCTGAGGGGGCAAAATTGCCATGTTGAGATTACTCTTGGCTGCACTGGCAAAGGAGGTAATGAAACATTGCAAGCAAATTCCGATTTGAATAGGAATTTCTCCATGCTCATTTTGCTGAATCACCTGCAGTGGCTCTTGCAAAAGTTGGTCTGAAGCAAGGACCGGGACATCATTATCCTGTTCTTCAAAGGACATTCATTTATCCAGCTGAAGCAGTGCTGGTCCCAGTCATGCATACAGTGTTTGCTAAATCTTCTTTGAAAAGGTATGCTTCTTTGGTTCCGCTACTGCAGCAGGTTTTGTCATATTGTACTAATTGACAATGCTGTTGTGATTGTGCAGGATCTGGGTACAAAATTGGGTAGGGACATCATTGTTTGGTTCATCTTTCTTTATGCATTGGTTAGTTCAGATGCTTCATTTTACTTGCCACTTCTTGTGCTTAGTTCTACTGAAAAATCTTCCATTTTCATAGGTTTATTGTCTTCAGACATTTCTGGTTTAATTGTTAGAAGTCATTTGATTCTAATGTTAAAGTTGTTCAGTTGATTTGTTTTTTTTGTGGATGGATAATTTCTGTTTTTCTTTTGGTTTGTCTGATAGTCTGGTTTTCATTAATGGTGGGTGGCATGCTTGTGGTTGCTTTTGTATAATAGGGCCTTGAGCTTTAGGTTTTAGGGGAATGGGTCCAAGTGGGTGAAATCATCTTGGTTCCTATAGTGTTCAAAATGTTTTCTATTGTGTAAAACTTTATTGTCATGGCATTTAAGTGTGATTTTTTTTAAGATTTCCATAAAAGTTTGGTCCTGGAGTGGTTTTCATTTTCACAGTTTGACATCATTGTATGGTGCTCAAACATGGTGTTATCTTTCTGAGGGTGCATGGAGTTTGGTATCATCATTTGTCTGCATATACTATTTCTTTTCCTTTTTATTAATAGGTGCATGTGTTAATAATTATTCTTAAATTCATTTAATTTCATCTTATTGGAAATAGCGATTGTGATTTCTCTGCCTATATTATGACTAATACGAAAAGGCTGTAAGGTTTCATGTCCTTTTCTGATTTTTTATTGATGTGATGTCTTTTGTGTTTGTTTTTACCTGTCTTTTTCATTCATACATGTGAAAATTTTAGTGTATTCTTAGAGCTGTTTCCTGAAGTTTCCCCACGCTTTTGCATCAGCTTGGGACTTGGAAGTACTGGTAAAATGGAGTCTTTAGATGGGCAGGGGATTGACTCCAGTGGAATACACACGCTACACAGTAATAATAGCAGTAGCAACAGTAATAGCAGTAGCAACAACAGCATAAGTAACACATCCAGTGAGAGTGATTACAGGAATACCACAAGGGGTAGTGACCTTGAAGCAGATGCTGATTCTCTAACATGTAGACAGTCTGGTTTATCTTCTTCGGATCAGTTGGAGAATGATGGTCTCAAATTGGTAATCAACATTTCTCTTGTACATCTTGTTCTTCCTGTTAGGTGTTAGCTCTCACAACCCTATCATGGTTTCCCTAAATTATGTTATAATACAAAGTACAATCTTCCAGTTCTGTTCTAAATCTATAAAGTCAATGCATCATAAAGATTGTTCTTTCATGATTGTTACCAACTGTGGTAGCATGCAAGTGCATTTAGGTGGGTTGAGTCCCAGCCAGTCCAATCATAAAACTGTGTAGCTGTAGTCAAACTGTAAACAATCTTGAAACAAAGGATCAATCCTGAGCATGCTTAAATAAAGTAGGTGCCAAGTGGTCAGATATGGAATGGTCTGAGTTTTTTGTATATTTATTTTAAAAATATATTAAATGAATAACATGTAGAGGTGCTAATGGAGGAGAGATTAGTAATACTACTATGTGTTAAAAATAACATGTACCTTAGTAAAATTATAACTGCTTGATGTATTTTATATTTCTTTTATGGGTGACTTCTCATCATTCCTTCCTTTACTCTTTTTCCTTTTCTTGCTATAATTTTTTTTTTTATTTATTACCAAAAGAAAGTGAAAGAGACGTTAAATAAGATGAAGGGAAAGGCATTAGGACCCTATAGGATTCCAATAAAAGTGTGGAAAGGTATGAGAGAGGTAGGCTTATTGTGGCTAAGTTATTTAATAAGATAATGGAAGAAAGGAAGATGCTTGATGAATGGAGACCAAGAAATAACTCAATGTGGCCTTTTCCATTACCTTAGGACTGGAGACCAAGAGATGATTCAATGTGACCTTTTTTGTTACCTTGATTCAATGATTCATAACAAGGGAGTGATTGAGGATCTTATCCAAAGAATTAGAGTAGGATGGGAAAAATGGACTAGGGGGGTTGCTTCCTGAGTTTTTCTATAAAACAGTTGTAAGGCAACTATACTGTATGGAGCAGTGTTGGGTAGTCAAGAAACAACATGTCCAAAAAATGAGTAGCAGAAATGCATAAACTGAGATTGATGAGTGGAAAAACTAGAAATGGTAGGATTAGAAATGAAAAGGGGTAGGACTATGTGGAGATGCCTAAGGGCTGCGGTATGCTGGTCTCTATGGGAAGATTTTCTCCCAAGTAGAGAGAAGTGCTGAAGATCTGAGAGAAATGATCCATATAAGGGTGGTACAGTGGGAATGTTTGTCTTGGTTCCTTCCTCTTTTTTTTTTTTGATGAATAACTTGGTTTCCTCCTCCCTCTGGTTTTTTGAAACTGAACTTTGATGGTAGTAGTAGAGGGAACCCTGGACATTCAGGGGTTGGGGGTGTATTTAGGGATGAGAATGCGAATGTTTCAGCCCTGTTTTCAGGTCCAATTGGGGTGGGTGATTCTCTCAGAGCCGAGATCTATGCAGTTATGGAAGGTGTCCAAAGAGCAAAGGAGATGAATATAAGAAGACTTGTAATTGAAGGGGATTTGGAGGTGGTTATAGGGTGGCTGATTAAAGACAATACTGGATTATGGAATTATAAGAATGAAAGGAGGAAATGAGTTAGAAGATGGCGTTCGAAGGACACGAGGGGTTCTCACCAGCCGGTAAGTGGAGAGAAGCTTTGAGAATAGAAAGAAAAGAACTGTTGCTGGAGGAGATATTCTACCAAAAGGACTTTACGATTAAGATTAGAGAAGGAAAGAGAGGAACAGTTCTGTTAGTGGGAGATGTTGTTCCTTGGTTTCAGAGGTTTTTAGATGGAGCTGCCCAGGTGAGCTGGAGTGAAGTGTGGAAAGGTACGCTCAGGTAGGTAAGGAGAGAATATGTAGCCGAGAGAAGAAAGAACAACAGAGGATGGTTTGTTACCTTGGAAGAAAAGTTCGACAAAAGGAAAAGACAAATAATAGTTATCCCTGAAGGTGTTCGGCAGCAGGGATGGTCAGCGGTGGCTAATGCTCTACACAGGAGATTAGTCAGTAAGGAATTAGGGGCAGTGAAGGTACAGGCAGAGAGAGTAGTTGGCGGATAGAGTAAGAAAGAAGAGATGACAGAAAGAAGAAAGAGACTGGAGAGGTTGGGCTTAGAAGACACAACGGAAAACCAAGGAAAGCCAACAGTGGCATTTACAATACCAGAACCAAAAATTGCTTTGGCTGGGGAAAAGGGAGCCTGGGAAAAAAAACTCATTTTATCTGCGAGGGAGGAGGTGAAGGACTGGAAGGGGCTGTTAGAGGAGGTGACAATGAAGCTTGGGTTAAACCAGACAATCATCCTTATTCCATTCAACGATAGAAAAGCAATCCTTGATGTGGGGGAGGTGTCGATGGACTTCACCATGCTGGAAACGAGTGAAGGCCCCGTAAGAATTGAAAACTGGTGTCCCCTTTCGAATAAGGTTGCTGCTGTAGATGGTAGCTTCAAACTGAAGCTGCTGGGTTTACCCTTTCATCTCCGGCAAAAATTAACCCTGGAGAAATTGGTGCGGGCGATGGGTGGTGTTATTCAGTCGTACAAGACCACAGATTTGAGAGTAGTTCATTTGAGAGTTGCTGGAATGAAGCCTAAGGAAGTTCCAAGGGTATTACAACTATGCGCAGAAGGTTATTGGTATAAGGTCTGGGTGTGTTCGGAAGTTGAAACGTTGCAGTGGTTGGGGAGATCGAAGCTTGAGGGAGATGATGGCGTGGCAAGATGGGTTACTTTGTCAGATATGTTAGCTAAGCAAGGGGTAAATAGGGAAGAATTATTTTGGGCTCAGTTGTGATTCTTGTTTTTCTTTCCTAGTTTACTTGTAAGATTCAATGAGGGGCTGCAGCTCGCGCCTCTCGCTGGGATGATGTATGAACTCACTCTAAATTTGCTTATGAATCAATAAATTTATTATTATTCATCAAAATAAAAGATGGGTTACAGTTGGTGGGACTGAGCAAAGGAAGTTTGGACATGTGGCAGCTGTTGGAGTGAAGTCTTCATTAAATGTGCAAGCTGAAAAGTCGAATGCCAAAAGTAAAGAGGCATTTTTGGAAAAGTTTTCAAATTTTTTGAAAACAAAAACAACTTTACAACTGGTTTGTCCTAAGCAGATTTGGTCAAAGGAGAAACCAGGGGGGTTCGATTCAGGTCCAAGCTCGAGCTACTCACCACACTTTCTGTTGGTTTGTTCTTAATGAGCTAAGGGTTCACAACACTTCTTTGGATTCATGTGACCACTTAAGTGGTCACGTGAGTCAAGTTTCTAAGCAGCCGTTGATAGACAAATACAAAGGTCTATCTTCTTCCTCACGAGATTCGACTCCTTGGGACCGAAAAACTCTTTCAGGCAGCTAGAGTTCATCGAAGAAGATGTTGAGCTGGATTCCGGTGACAAAACATAGAGAAGGCGATCGGGACGGGATGGAGGGAGATAGGCCAAATCCAAGATACTCCAGGAAGTGTAGGGAAGATTGTGAAGATGAGGACGGTGGATGGGTAAGTTGCAACAGTTCAGAGGAGATGTTAGACTTAGATGACGAAGCTGAACTTTAGTGTGACGAACGTCAAGGAGAGTTGGAAGATACCCTTAATACTAATATCCTTTTCTCAGAGCACGCAACAGAGGATCCCTTCTTCCATAAAACCTCCACTGGGTGAGAGCTGAATGATGCCGAGCATGCTTTAGAAGACAAGGGGGAAATCGAATACCAAGTAAGGAAGAATCAAACTAGGAGAGTAACTTAAGACAAGGGACCTGTAAGAGGACTTCGACTGCTCACCAAAATTCGAGCAGAGACGGCATAGGCGGGGATGAACGACAGAGCCTTGGAAGTACGAACAAGGGTGAAATCAGCCTAGGTGGTGATCAGCTAAGCCCTACACAGAGAGTGAAAGGACCAACCCATTCGGTTGTCTCTTCTCCTATTCCTTCAGACCCAGGTATGGCTGTGGTTTCGGTTTTAGATACTAATGTCTGCTATACCTGTGATGTTTGTCTCTCAAATTCCAATCGTGCCCCTTTGCTGAATACCCAAGGACTAGAGGTTGACAATGAGGAGGTTGGGGAGCTACAGGAGGGGGGTGAGAAGGTGGTGAGGGTGGGGAAAGCAGATTCAAATGAATTAGCTGGGGGGGAAACTAAGGAGGACATGGTAAGATGGAGAAGGAGAAGGGGGGGATTAAGAGGAGTGAGGTAGGGGGGGGGAAAGAAAGATAAGGGAGAGGAAGAAGAGGAGTCATTAGCTGAATTTGTAGAAAAGTTAGGTTGCAAGGTGAGAGATCTGAATGAGCTGAAAGGGTACTTAGGGGCTGAAAAAGATGATGGGAATAGGAGGAAGAGAAGGTTAGGTGAAGCTGAGAAATTGAAGTTGGAAGTGGATGAGGGCAAAGAGGCTAGAGTAAGGAAAGGGAGGGTAAGAAAAGGAGGTTACTAGAAGGAAAGGGAGTGGGGTTGAGCAGAGCTGTTGAAGAAATGAAGATTGTAAGTTGGAATGTGAGAGGGTTGGGGGGTGCAAGGAAAAGAGCTTTAATAAAGGAGGCCTTAAAGAAAGAAAACCCAGACATTGTTCTTATTCAGGAATCTAAACTTATGGCATTTGACAAAAGGTGGGCTAGGAGTGTGTGGAGAGTGAATGGACTAAGCTGGGCTATGAACCCCTCCTGGGGCTCATCTGGAGGGTTAGTTACTTTGTGGAAGGATGAAGTAGTGGAGGGAGTGGAAGAATTAGTGGGGAGGTTCTCAATTTCTGTCAAATTTAAGTAGGTGTCAGATGGGCTTGAATTCTACTTTTATTGCTTTAATTCTGAAGAAGGTAGGGGCTTATCACCCTAAAGAGTTTAGACCCGTCAATTTGGTTAACAACTTCTTCAAGATCTTTGCTAAGGTGTTATCCAGAAGAATTAGAGAGGTGCTCCCCTCAATTATCTCTCATAATCAAGGTGCCTTTGTGGTGAATGGACAAATTGTGGACCAAACCTTAATTGCAAATGAGAGTGTGGATGGAAGATTACAGAAGTAGAGGTGAGAAAGGGCTGCTGTGTAAGCTGGATTTGGAGAAG